CCCCTAACCATTGAGCAACGAGTTCGTGGTTTCGCCAGATTAGGTCGGGGGATATTGGCACTCGTTGATGAACATTCATGCTTCGACTGTCAGGGCTTCTGTCGAGACCCAAGGCAGAGCGAGACAAATCAGTTCCGTTAGCGGTCGGGTGAAAGTTCATCAACGAGTGTCAATACCCCCCAACCTAACCTGGCAAGATAACGAGCTCGTGGCTCAGTGGTTTGGGCGTTTGAGTCTGGTCAAAGAGCCGCGAGTTCGAGCCTCGGTTGGTGCAGCACCTGAGGTTGTGTATGAGTGGCTAACGACGGCTAATAAGCCAGAAATGGCCATTCCACTCTCTCTAGTCTTTGCCGGCAATGTAATCTAAACTATGATGACTATTTGCTGGAATGATACGTTTGTCTAATAAAATTCTGAACACTGAAAACAGTTGATACTGAGTACAGTAATGGCTCGTTTGCGGTTATACGCATTAAGGAATTCATTCATAGGGCACTATCTAAATTAGATTGGAAGGCAAAAAAAAATATAAAGTGCTCAGTTGATTCTCGAGTCCCTTGAGAATGACTTACATATTTATGGTTGTCCCGTGTAACATCCATACCTAAAAAAATTATAATCAGCCCTCCGTTTTTACGATTTCTTAACATTCACAATAGGTTTTGACCAAAGAAAGCTCGGTAATCACAGGATGAGCTGAAAGCCAATTCATCCAGCGAGTGCGTTGACGCGAAAAATGGGTTTAAAACTGACTACTTAAATGTTTTTTATGATATCGGTCCTGATCCCAGCTGTGGTTGGACTAGCCTATAAACACTCCCCTGCAACAGTCATCCCGACAACGGTGGATTTAGGTCGTGTTCTTCCCCCGTTTTTGTGTCAATTGAAAGTCTTACAAATTGAATGTCCTCTCCGGTTATCTTGGTGTTCTCCATCACCTAAACTTTAATGACCACTTCACCTTGGGTCATTTTAATGTAGGCGTTGAAAGTGGTAGATTATATTCAAAAATGTCTCCAGCTTTCCGATGTTAAACCTCTTCCTTTCTCGTGACTCATATTGCTCGTCTACACGGTCGAGGTTTGCCAAAACAACAAATATCTGCGTAACAAACACACACCTCAAGAGCAGGCGCCTTGCCTTTCCGAGCCCGCGCCCCCGAGGACCGTCTGAGAATTTCCACCAATTGATAATGATGGAAGGCAGAAGGTCTGGCTCAACGTGAAGAATGCCGCCTACGCGTGCCACGCACAAATGAGCATATTTGGAAATTCACACACACAGCTCGGCCACCGAACGCCATCAGTCAGTATTGACTAATTTTGGATCAGTCCAGCAATAAAGATTCAGGTGGGTAGAGCAATTAGTCAGTCCGGCTAAATTCTTTGTACGAGGATAATAATAACGAATAAACCTTTTTCATGTTTCCCAGAGTCAGTGGGAAAAAATAACAGGTGTACTGCTCTCTTGACATTCTTGTCTAACGCTCAGTCATTCATCTTCGAAGCTCCCTTAATTTCCCCAGTTTGCCACAATTCACCTTCTGAGATCTTTTCTTTCTATTATAATATTGTTGCACTATTTAACCCCTTCTCCGTTAATTGTTACTCGTGGACTCTAAATACCCATTCCGCCATGCTGTGTCGGAAACCGTGGGTTGTATAACAGGCATTCCTGTTCGTCGGCCCCTTTCGTGCTTCTCATGCTGCCGTTAGATAACTCAGTTAGCTGAAACCTTTGCAATTAACGACTATTAGTTGCGTTCGTTTCACGCTTCACCTCGCTTATTATAGTTACAGGGCAAGGTTCGGCCGCTCGGGAAAAGCTTCGTCTGTCCACCCCCTCCCCCCATTAATTTCACTTTTATCGGCTCGGTCTCAGCGCTGAACTCCCTGGGCGGATGCGGGTTTCCTGTGTGGGTTCGCCCGAACGGATGCTTATCGACTGAAGCCACTTCTTCAAAGTGTGGAGCGACTAAGATCCTAAGGGGAGTGAACTAGTGCAGATTCTCTCGCATGCTGTCTAATCTAGCCATATTTTGTCGAAATGCTCAGAGTATTGGCAACGGTTATCAAACACACAAATGGACGTTGCGATCCACAAAGGCATTTGTATGCATAAAACCTTCCGTAATAAGTAGAGTCTTCTTTACCTGTTCTACAGGTGGGCAATTAACCCGCGAGTGGCATTTAATGAGGTCAACTAGCAAATTTAAGTAATTGTGGTCATCGAAAAATATATTCGGAAATGAAAATCTTAAGACTCTGTGTTTCTATTCGCAATTATTGGAAATGGCTAATTAAAAAATATTTGTACCAAGATTATTATCGCTTTGATTCCTACTAAAAACAACGAATGTTCCCATAGAGTCGGTGAAGACTTGTATATTGGGGTTTAGAACACTTTAAAGTTGCTACTTAACAAGTGCATTAGAATATGAGCGGTTATTAATTAATTAATAGGTAGAACATGGAAATGGTACCCCCTGGTAACACAAATGGCCTTGGATAATATTTCAGGAACCACATTTTTTTCCGAATTCTAACGTTAACCCTAATAGCAACCTTTACCCTAACACTAACCTTAAAATAACCCTGATTCTAACTTCACCAACAAATCAAGCCTAACGCTGGCCTCACTACTACCACTAAGCTTAACAATAGGGTCGGCCTTCCTGGAAATTAGTGCAAGGCCACCGAATAGATAAGGTTCTTATTCTCGGGTATTGGCTACTACTGGGCCGAATGAATTTTTTTTAAAAACACTGTTTTGTCGATTTTTGGAACCAGTGAAATCTACTGGTGTTGTTAAGCTTGACAGGACATTTTCTTGTCCAAAAATTACCCCGCAGCTTTTGACCGAGGCACAGGCCTGGTGGTGCGCTGATGTGCGGATTTAGCCGTACCAGCCACCTGCGTCCAATTTCACCTCCGGCCTTCTTGACACCGGGCACAGACGGGCGAGGAAAGAGAGAGTGCGATACATGTGGTGAAAGTGTACAATCAATTCAAACTTATTCGCGAGCAAGTCACCGCCGTGAACCAAGCGGTGGACATCGTCGAAACTCGAGTGTCGAACTGCCACTCGAGTCAGACGTGAACCACGTGGATAGCAGGCGGTGGTCAATCGATGCTGCACGTGAATCTATTGATCTCACTCGTCCTTCAAAGGTAGCGTGAACTTACAAGCTGAAATTACTGTCATGCCCACGTATTAAACTTGTAGAAAAATAACCAACAGGAGGTTGATTAGGTACTAATGCGCCGGCCGACAAGTGATGTCAGGCAGAGGGAGACTCGCCGGCTCTTCGGGTCGGATAACAGTGTCGGTCGCCGGCGAAATTCAAGTGTTCCCTTCAGCAATCCGAGACATGACAAGTCTCGTTACTCACAGGACAGTGAGACGGACTTCCTCTGTGATAGAGCAGTGGAATTTATGGACTCTGGGGACATTTACAGCATCGTAGCTGTTGAGCTGGCCGAACACAGTGCTTATTTTGAACGTCTTTTACGTTACCACAGGGGACGTGGATGTATTCGTTTACCGGAATTCCTGAATGCAGGATTTTCTGCCCTCATTGAGTATATTAGGCGTGGCTCAACAACAGTTGATCAGGGAAATGTCTATGAAATATTCATAGCTGCGGACTATCTTCTTGTGCCGAAACTCAAGGAGCAGTGTTCCGCGTACATTAAAGAACTCTCAAACGATCCTTCCACCGCTATCAACTTATGGGTTGCGGGACGCCCACTGCACTGGCCAGAGATTGGTGAAATGGCCTTCCAAAAGATCCTGGAAAATTTTGAGAATGCTTACCTATCCCCTGAGTTTGAGCAGCTGGACAGTACAGATGTGGAAACAATCCTTATGGACGACTCTCTCAACTGTAAAAGTGAAATGGCAGTCTTCGATGCTGTCATGAAGTGGTTAGCTCATGATCCCGAAAACAGGACTGCAGACGCTCTAAGTCTTCTTTGGAATGTTAGGTTGGGTATGATTCGTACGGCCGAAGTTGAGAAAATGAAGCAGAATGAACAACTGAAACTTGTCCCCGAATATATGAATATTATCAACGAGTGGCCCTGGAGCATCTATGATCTCATGTCAAAATTGACCGAGGTTCAAAAACTTAAGCTTGCGAAACCGCGATTTCCACACCAGGTAAATTTTCGATAATAATTGTAATATAATGAATTGAAGACTTCAATAATCTTTCCAGATTCTGCACCCGGAGAGTTTTTTTCCAAATTGAAAGAGTCATTTTGTGAAGTCCATTAAAAAAGCTCCCCCGCTTCGCTAAAATGAACTGTTCAGAAGCGATCACAGAATGTTCCCAGGCTAGTTCTTCTCACTTAGATCAGACCATACATATTTTCCCGCCTATCTCGAAAACAAGGTTTACCGCGTTCAGAGGAACCAAAAGTCAGTTAAAGTCTTCAGCTATGGTCTCTTCTCGCGTTGTTTTAGCCTACGTGGTATTGGTTTACTGAGAAGTCTATGCTGTTGCCACTTACTGACGCCTGAATAACCTACTCCAATACTCGTTATTGTAGACGTCACACATGAGGCAGATCATCAACGTTACTGAATGCGTGTCATAACCCCGAAACACACCAGTAGGGTCGGTTGCTTGCGTTTGCAGATATTGGTATTCTGATTCTTTTAATTAAGACGTGCTGACTGATTCCAACGCATAACTAGTTACCCATCGGAATATTACAAAAAACGAGCAAAACAGAAAATGAACTCGCGGGAGAGTTCGAAACGTCGAACAAATATACCACTGGTCCCAGAGAACGTTTTACCGTATTCTATTTAGTTGCATGGGCCTCGAATATTCTCGACCATTAAAAACAGAAAAGGCATGGCTACTGAGTGATATCGAGCCGGAAATGCCCCGCCTAACTGGTTAGTAAGAACGAGGCACCATACATGATTCGAAGTCGGGTTTGCAGTCAAATAGGGCAGGCTATTCAATGCTAAAGGATGTTAAGCTCAGTATTCACATAGCAGGCTGTGGCCGAAACAGATCTTGCAAACCGCAGTTTTTAGTCTAGCTAGCTTAGTTTAATTGGTTTCGTTTACTTTTAGTTCAGTTAAGTCAAGTTTTAATTTGAATTATTTTTAGTTTAGTTTATTATTTGTTTTGGATTTAGTTTAGTTTTGTTTAATTGCGTTTATTTTTACTATTTTTATGGTGAGGTTGTCTCTAGCTGTCTTATTTAGATCCTTATGTATTATAGCTGCCTACTTAAATTTTTAAGTAGGTTGAATTGCCTGTAAACTTCTGGTTTTCTA